CTAATGCATGAAAATCCTAACCTCAAAAAAATCACCCGTTATATTTGTGTTGTTTTTATACACTAACAGTGTACAGAAATATACTAAAAAGTTGTCAGTTAGTAAACAAACATTGTATTACCATATTTAACAAAAGAAAAAATAAAAAAGTGGGGAATTATTTTATTTAAAAAAGTAGTCGAAACGAATATTAAAGCTTTAGTAAAAGTGGTTCAGTTTTCGGTTCGGAACAAACATTTGTCGAAAATTCCGATTCGATTAACAGTTCTGTCAATTGGTAGAAAAAAGCGGTTAATCCGGTTGAGGTCCCTGGTTTATGCTTTCATTCAAATATTTTACCTCTATTGGTTGTTGCCGATCTGGACGGTTTCGCTAGAATTTCTGACAGTGATATTTTTCAAAAAAAAAGTTTGTAGTTATTTCAAGAATAAATTGTCATACATAATACAAAACCTCCTCCCAGATGATTTATTGGCCGAAATCCTTAGAAGCTTGGAGTTCATGTCGCGAGCACTGCGTACCGACGGTGCGAGCGAGTAGATCCATCACTTATATCTCATTCAATGAGCACTGATCAGAATGTAGTATATGTACGGTGACCATAAATATCGATTCAAAATGAAGGANATATATTTACGTAGTATAAAAATATCAAAAGAGTATTTATGATTCTAAATTCTTAATACATTTTAAACTTTAAAAACGAATCACGTTTTCTTCGTCGATATTAATCTTTTTTTACATGAATATTCCACAAAAGTATAGTAAAACATCTTAAAATTACAATAGCTTACACGAATAGTGAAAATCTTTACGAGATTATTTTTTAGGCAAATTTTTAGTCGTTCAAAACGAAAACAATACCCTTTTTTGTTTTTTGTACTTTTCGCAGTTATTTGTCAAAAATCGACGTCATGAATCGACATAAACGACGAGTTGCAAAGGTATTTATGTGCCCTTTACAAAAATATATAACTTGTGCAGATTGCGCTTCATTGCATTACATTTCTAATCCGATTTTCATTATGTTTGACTCAAAATTTTCTGTAATGATATATCTTCTTTATCGAATTTTTAAACTAATGAAAAAAATAATCAAATAAAACTGCGTATTTGATTGAAAATCTCACTTTTTTCGACTTTGACGACAAAATGCAAATGGTCGCCTGTAGCACTAATAATTTTCATTTAAGTCGCCACAAGTTATATATTTTTGTAAGAGGCACATCAATACCCTTCGAGATGTAAGTCGCTTACGTTGACTGGGAGATTTTTTCATGAGATATTGAAGAAAAGCTACGAAAAGTACCAAGAAACACTAAACACTTTTTTTTTTAATTCATCCATTGTCCGATAATTTTAAAATAACGAATAAAATGCGGGACAAATGCAGGACACTTGGAAAAAAGCAGTACATTTTCAGGGTTTTCAGGTTTGAAAAACTACGCAGGACCGACCTTTGAAAAACAGTACGGTCCTGCAAAAAACAGAACGGATGGTCACCGTAAGTATATGAAACCCTGATTGTAGGAAGGATCGAAGCTGTTTGGAAAAGTTGTCTTCCTCCGGATCATCGTATTCTTTTCCGGCAGAGGTAGACGCTATAAAGTAAGCTGCGGACTGGATGCTCCCAAATATTATACCATTTATGGAGATTAAGATATATTTTGATTGCCATTGGCAATAAGGGCCCATATCACTTTCATGATACGTTCCTAACCTCCTAGAGAATTTTCGATAACTCTCTCGTTCGAATCGGATAAAATACTATATCATGGTTAGTTGGATTCCAGGCGACAACAATGTATATGTATATCGCAAGGTAACTGTATGACAGAAGAATCAGTTATAAAACTCTTTGAGAAGTAAATTGTGAGGTTTCCACTGTCTGCATGCTTACTTCTTAACAGGTTATCTCAGCAAACGCTGACCTTGGAATGCAAGTTGAGTGGTCCCTCCTGGCCCGGGGTTAAATGACAGCTGCCTAGGGCGCTCTTCAAATTTAACAATTTACGTCTTTAGTTACTGATGAAAATTCTTACCATCATTGTCCGAACGGAATTCATGCAGTAAGGCGCAACAGCATCTCAGGCTCAGCGTATGGAGCGTGGAATCACCTCAATATCTGCGACTCAACTGTCCAGGTTTTGTGAGATAAGGTTTCTCATTCCCGAATATAGATTATCCACTTATGGATTTTTATTGTTCAAACGGGTCGTTTTTCTACCGTAAGTCCTTAGAAGTCAAGGCGTTTCCACGACAACCGAATTACATTGTTCGCTCTCTCAATTACGAACAGCCGTTTATGGCATTCATGGATGTTTCTTGTTCTTCGATTAGTTAATTTTTTAATTGTTTTAATAAATCTAAAGATTTTTTGGACGTTTGTGCTGGTGGTGGTGTATGTGTCTTGACATATGTATTTTTTTAAATTTCTGATCAAAATTAGAGATGACAACATTTGTTCGTAATTTGCATGATAAATGAATCTGAATTAGCCACACATTGCGAATGGGAGAGCGAATCACTTGTCGTGGAAACAACGTTTTACCAATTCCTGATATTCTCGAACAGTTAATTTACTAGTGTAAGCGTTACTGCATTACTTATAACTTGAATTATTTTGAACATGTTGGGAGAATTTTCCAAAGTTCTTCGTAAATCTAGATTTTCCTAAATTTCCGAAACAGTTTTTTTGCGGAAAAATGTTTTGTGATGGATATTTTTTCTATAAAAAAAAAAAAAACTTTATGAATGGCACTGCTTAAGCGGAAATATTTTGGTGGAAGATAAACAATTTATATAATTTTTATAACTTGCTTGGGTATTTAGAAAATATTTTACATTGTATGGAACGTGGCGCAGCCTAATCCAAGTACATACATACATGCATATGTAAAAAAATCAAAATTTTTGCAATCTGAAAGAGCAGAGAATTGCTGATTAATAGCAAAATTCAAACGTAAAGTATAAAATTTAAAGCTTAAAAGTTTTAAATTTAGAGCGCCCACATTTAAGCCTCCCACATGCAAGCTTTCGTGTTTGGGTGTACGCGTGTGCATGCTGATTAATCAAGTTTATAAATTATTGAAGTCATATTTATGATATCGATTTTTTTCGCTCCAATTCAATTCAGTTATTATTTTTTTTAATTATTCTCGACCCTTAATACTTTGCGCTCTCCGTACTTAATCATTTATGTATGCATGCATGAATGTACTATGTATGTATGTATGTATATGAGCATGAGTGTGTTCTGTCGTTGGTGTTGAGTTTGTTGCTTTTGCATTTTCTTATTAGCTTTGCATTATTTATTTATAGTTTGCATAAATATGGTTTAATGTTTTGTTTATATATTCCATTTTTTGTTATTATTGTTTTTTGTTTGTTTTATGGATGTAGGTATGTCTGTGTGTGTTGGTTGTTTTTCTTTTTCTACGTACTCTTGTATCTATAGCATAATACCGAAGAATGTCAAAAATTTGAGTAAACTGTACAATTTATACAAGAAACGATATCTATCCAAATGTATGAAATTAAAATCCGCTCTGACATATTCCGTTTCCGGTTCGATTCAACTGCATTTACGCGCTCGCCGCTGGAAGCGTTTCATGCGCAACGACCATTCGTCCTTCCATTCGAGCACCACCGAACTGGGGCCGATGGCTAGATAGCCGGGTGCGGCTTCCGCATCACGTCCAAGTATGAGATATGATCTAGAAGAGGAAGTGACGACAGTAAGCAAAAAAGAGTGAGTGAAAGTGAGCTTTAAAAATAGATAAAATTAATTGAATCATCTGCAAAAGAAACGGGTTGTTTATTAGCAATCAGGCTTCGGAATCCATTCGAATTAACTGAATTTATTGCTCAAGTTATTAGCCTTATTCATTAAAAATAAAGTAGCTTTAAATAGCTTCATAAAGTGAAATTTTTGATTATTTTTTATGCTGATTGAACTTACAGTAAGGATAGAAATACTGACCCAAGGATTATTCTTACTTCAAATGCGTGATGCAATAGTTCCAAAACTAGAAATCCCTACAAAATTTGGGATATGCATTGCAGATTGAGGAGCTCTCTGGAATGTAGAGAACCCATACACGAAACCTAATGGGGAGCTTTGGTATACAGATTAATCTATAATTAAAAATGGTAATGGAATGGAATGGAATGGAATTGTGGGTGGCCGGAAAAACCAAAAAGAAATTTTTCCAAGCACTCAAGCAGTATTGCCCATTGTACCTAAGGCCAAGAAACAGGATTTAGAGGAAAGGGATATGTAGGTGAGGGTGGGAATTCATTACTCCTTTGCAAACGTACCAGACTCCTTTATGAATTTTACCAATTTGTTGAGGGAAATAGAATGTACGTCGTCCATTCTCAGTACATCTGACCCAAAAATGTACCATCTGAGTCTGCAGAAGGCCGGACAGCGGCAGAGAAAATGTTTTGTACTATCCTCGTCCTCCAAACACGATGTGGATCATCGATGATGTCGTCCCCATGGATTGTGCCCCGTAATCAGTCCTACCATGGTTCGTAGATCACTCCTTCTTTGTCTGAGAAGAAATTTTGTTACCACCCTGTCAGGCCTTTTTAGGAAATACTTGGTTATATTGCAGGTGCCAATAGTGCACCAACGGATCGTTCCCGCTATGCTTGGCCCTACAATTGGCTCCGGTCCAATTGGGCGCTCCAGAGAACCGCCGTTCGCCAATTCATCAGCAAGTTCATTACCTTGAACACCGTAGTGTTCTGGCACCCACACAAGTTCAAGCTCATTCCATCTTTTAACGGAGTTCAGCCTCAACTTAAGTTCCTGGACTAACTTTAAAGAGGTTCGAGCGGTTGTCAGGGCCTTTAGAGCAGCTTGGCTGTCACTGCAGATCGTGATATTATGTCCGCCCCACCTTTCGCCAGTTATCCAGTCTGCCTCTTTCAGTATTGCAAAGACTTCCGATTGAAAGACCGTTGTTATTGCACCCAAAGCGGTAAAGCATCTGAAGTCTCAGTCCAGACGCCATCCAGCTCCAGTCTTTGAGCCGACAGTATAGAAAGTTTTCACCGAGCTCCCCAAGAGAGTGTCAGGATCTCTCTATTGTTCCCTTGTAGGAAATCTAACGACATACTTTCTACCAAAGGAGACTCTAAGTATCAGTTTGTCATTTGGTGCCAAAACCAAAGGATATTGCTCTGACAACCTTCCGAACAACTCTCTGTGCCCAGAGCTCCGATCGTCGTGCCACAGACCAAACGAGTGCAGTCGACACATCGTGAAAATGGTAAAACTACGGCTGACATATTTGTGCGGAACTTTAAATAATCTATACCAATGCTACCCCACCACATTTAAAGCGGTGATTAATTCAATAGAAATTTGCGGCAGAGAATGCTTTAGAAGAGCCACATACTCAAAATAGGTATATCTGAATTATGTCGGACAGTCAAGTAGGCATTTTGGTACCGAAGTACACAAAATCAATTCTCAGCAAATACTTATATGAGCGCTTCAATGTCCCAAATGCTATTGGAACCAAGAATATAGTAGTAATTGATTTTAGGCCGGAGGATTAAGTCCTTGAGCCATTGATTTACTACGAACTACTTCTCCTCCACATCAATTTCGAAAATATTTTTAAAAGTGGTTAGCACAAGTTAAAAGGTCTAAAGAAATCAAATCAGTTATTTTAGTGAAATATTGCGATATGGAAAGCGAAGAAAAGCTAATAATTTAATATTTGTACCAACCTTATATTTAGAATTTTATTTGTATAGTGTTTTTTTACTTCCTATCTATCGTTTCGCATCAATCTTTCAGCATATTGCTATACATGGACACATCTATACGTACATACATATGTACATTTACGTATATGTGTATGTGTAAAAGCGCCAAGCAATCTAACTAAAATAAATTTCCTACTTACTTGTTCAACTTTATTTTGGGACACTGGCACTCGAGACTCTTACGCGGCACTAGCCACATCATATGCCCTCTGCCCAGCAGCGAACTCGTCGTACCCTGCAAAGGGTTCCGCTTGAAAATCGTTTGTATATTTATTTCGTATTTGAAAATTTCATTTTGTCGTTCAATCGAAAATTTCTCCGTATTGATATCCTGTGAGGCGCGGTCATGCCCAATGACTTTTGCCAAAAGGGCTGCAATTATAAAAAAAAAGGAGAGAAAAAAGCGAAGAAAAATAAAAAATAAATTAAAATAGAAGCGTCAGCATAAATACAATTAAAATTGTAAT